AACCATTGTTTAAAAGATAGTAGTATTCTGTTGTCTGTAGCTACACCATCCCTTAGGACTTGTCTAACTTAGATATGAAAATATTGTTTCAACAATAAAAGTTGACAGCATATACTTTTTTTTTTTGTGGTACGCGGGCCTCTCACTGTTGTGGCCTCTCCCGTTGCGGAGCACAGGCTCCGGACGCGCAGGCTCAGCGGTCATGGCTCATGGGCCCAGCCGCTCCGCGGCATGTGGGATCTTCCCGGACCGGGGCACGAACCCGTGTCCCCTGCATTGGCAGGCGGACTCTCAACCACTGCCCACCAGGGAAGCCCGACAGCATATACTTTTAAATATTAACTGAGTTTCATATATGCAGTGAGTAGTTTTTAGTATAAGTATGTCCTATGCAGTATTTGGGACATACTTATATTAAAGAATTATTCTGTTTATCTGAAGTTCAGGTTTAACTGAGAAAACTGTATTTTATCTGGTAAACTGTAAGAAAGAAAAAAGAGTAAGTTACAGGGATGTAATATTCAGCACAGGGAATACAGTCAATAATATCATAATAACTTGACGGGTAATCTATAAAAATATCAAATCACCATGTTGTACACCTGAAACCAATATAGTATTGTAAGTCAACTATACGCCAATATTTTAAAAAAGAAAAAAATATTTAACTTATTTTCTCAGTTCTCAAACTCTTTGTCCACAGACTCAAACCTACCTATTTATTTAAGTTACTTTTGAATGGCAAGTTTTGATGATACATGGTAAGTGAACTATCTATCCAGAGTGTGAACACAGGAGAGGTACTGAAATTGTAATTGACAGTTCCCCTGTAAAGACCACACGGTGAACGTCCTGCCTTGGATCCTATTATAAACTAGTCCTTTCCTCTTTTATTAGCTAAAGCTGCCACTGAATATCAGATTCAGTTCTAGTACTTATGATGCATTAAGTGCACACAATACTCTTATGAGGTTGATACTATAGTTATCCCATTTTACAGATGGGGAAACTGAGGCCCAGGAGGTTGGACAGCTTGGTCCAGGCTGAGCTGGAATATCCACAGTCTGGTACTAGAGCCTCTTTCCAAACCACGGCCTCTTACCATCTGATCCTCGAGCTTCACACGACACCAGGCAGCCACACACTCCTGACTTTTGGTGTGGGTTTGAGGGAACGTTGCAGACTTCACAGCAAGATTCAAAGAGGTGCGTTTGGTTAGAGTTCTAAAAGCCAAATTGGGCTTTAAAACATAACTGCTTAAGGATGTTTCCAGATTCACACTGAAATAAAAATCCCCTGGGATTTTTCTCTAAAGAAAGTCGAGCAGGATAACGGCAGCTGGGGTTTGCCACTGCCCCATTAATCCCCATAAGCTTGGCTGTGCCTCCAGGGAAGATGTGGGCATGTAATACAGCCATGTGCAGGCACGGATGGCGAGGGAGAGGGGGGACTTCGGGATGTAGGTGAGAGACTGAGCAGGTGTTCCCCTCTCCCTGTGGCCACTCCATAGATTTACCCTTGTGCCAGCATCACTCCTCATGTCCCGTTTAGTCTGTCCCACCATGATCCTCCCACCCACATCTGCACCCTGCCCCCAGGAGGGAGGCTACTTAATAACCTGAAAATTACTGAGTGCTAGGATTATTACTAACAGAACTTTCCATCTCATACTTCTCCCAATAGCATGTTTCTATTTGTTCCCGCTTTCCTCTCTAGTATTTGCTCTTTTTTTTTTTTCCCTTCCTTCTTTAAAAAAAAGCTGATAATGATTTTGGCATTGAAAAGTTTTTACTCCCGCCCTCCTCAGTTTTATTGAGATATAACTGACACATAACATTGTGTAACTTTAGGGTGTATAATGTGATGATTGGATACCTGTATATGTTAAACAGTTGTCTCTGGGGTGTGGAGAAAAGGGAGCCCTCGTACACTGTTGGTGTGAATGTTAAGTTGCTGCAACCACTATGGAAAACAGTAGAAAGGTTCCTCAAAAAACTAAAAACAGAGTTGCCACATGATCCAGCAATCCAACTCCTGGGCATATATCCAGACAAAACTATAATTCAAAAAGATACATGCACCCCTATGTTCATAGCAGCATTATTTACAATAACTAAGACATGGAAACAACCTAAATGTCCATCGACAGATGAATGGATAAAGAAGATGTGGTACATATATACAATGGAATACTACTCAGCCATAAAAAATAATGAGATAATGCTATTTGCAGAACATGGATGCAACTAGAGATTATCATACTAAGTGAATTAAGTCAGCTAGAGAAAGACAAATACCATACGATAACTTATATGTGGAATCTAAAATACGACACAAATGAACGTATCTATGAAACAGAAACAGACTCACAGACATAGAGAACAGACTTGTGGTTGCCAAGGGGGAGGGGACATGGGGGAGTGAAGGAATGGGAGTTTGGGATTAGCAGAGGCAAACTGTTATATGTAGAATGGATAAACAACAAGGTCCTACTGTATAGCACAGGGAACTATATTCAATATCCTGTGATAAACCATAATGGAAACGAATATGAAAAAAATACGAATATATATGTATAACTGAATCACTTTGCTGTACAGCAGAAATTAACACAACATTGTGAATCAACTATACTTCAATAAAATAAATTAAAAAAAGAAACAGTCTTCTCTGATCCACTGAATAGCTAGCATGGGAAAAAGAGTTTTTTGAACTGTAACTAATACAACATTTTTTTTTTTTTTGCAGTACGCGGACCTCTCACTGTTGTGGCCTCTCCCGTTGAGGAGCACAGGCTCCGGACGCGCAGGCTCAGCGGCCATGGCTCACGGGCCTAGCCGCTCCGCGGGACGTGGGATCTTCCTGGACCGGGGCACGAACCCGTGTCCCCTGCATCGGCAGGCGGACCCTCAACCACTGCACCACCAGGGAAGCCCTAATACAACATTTTATTGCAGAGTATAACAACTCAATCATCAATTATAACACACTTAAGATGAGTATACACTGTTTCAGTTTGCACTTATAAATCATATTTCTTCAGGAGATGTGAATCGGAACTGATTTTCTGCATACTTTCAAATACGCATCATCTATCGTGTGTTATTAGAAGTCCTAAGGTAGGTATTTTAAAATAGTCCATGAAAAATTGGACTCAGGTTATTTTACGAATTGTTATTTGAGCCTATAACTAATCTCTTTGACATTAACATGTTTAATAAACATTAGAGCGCTATCTGCATTCAGAAGATTGGATAGAACTAAAGACATCGTCTCTATTCATTAGGCTGATATTTTCTCAATAATCTAATTTTGTCTTTCATAAGGTATTAATGCTTTTGGAAGTCTTGCTCTTAATCCTATTAATTCCTAAGCCAGGCTTTAAAAGTGCAGGAGGAAATATGCAAAGGCGGTCAGTTTCAGTGAATTATGAATTAAATCACTAAAGGCAAACCTAAGAATTTCAGGATGGCTAAAATGCAGAACTTCATTTGGAAATATTTTCTGGACTTAAATCAAACCTTTGGGCCCTGGTTTGTGACTGTTTTCTTGGCTTTGCAGTCTTTTGAACTGCGGTCATTGGTAATACGTGAGGACACACGTGTCGGCAGAGCAAAGTGTGTCTGTGTATTTGCCTGCGTTGAACAAAGACCTAGCCTTCAAAGAAGCAGAGCAGTGGTGGGGCTCTGACTGCTATAATGAGCCTTGGACAGTTAAGCTAAACCCAAGATAATGCAGCATCTGGGGCATAAAACTGAGGCATCATGAGGGTCCCCCAAGAGGAGAAAGAAGCAGAGTTTGAACGTCGAAGGATAGGGAGGTGGTAGAAACTGATTTTAAAAATACTCTAATTCCTGGGCTTCCCTGGTGGCGCAGTGGTTGGGGGTCCGCCTGCCGATGCAGGGGACGCAGGTTCGTGCCCCGGTCCGGGAAGATCCCACATGCCGCGGAGCGGATAAGCCCGTGAGCCATGGCCGCTGGGCCTGCGCGTCCGGAGCCTGTGCTCCGCAGCGGGAGAGGCCACATCGGTGAGGGGCCTGCGCACAGCAAAAAAAAAAAAAAAAAAAAAAAAATACTCTAATTCCAGACAAGATGTTTTCCAAGTAGGAGCTAGTCAGGTAGATGCAGTACCAGAAACACGTTCCTAGATTTAAAGAGCCATGTGGCTTTCTGATCCTATTTTTACTGTCAGCATGCTGCTACTTTATCTTCGCCAATGACTGTGAACTAATTTTACTTAATAAGGTAACAGAGAAATCCAAGCCCCTTCCTTCTCCCCCCTCACCACACACACACACACACACACACACACATACACACACATGCACACACACTCAGTGAAGGTGTGCTCTTTTGAACCAGACTCTTCAAATAAATTAATTCTCTTCAGTTTGGGAAAGACTTTCCAACAGAATTAGGCTGAGGACAGAGGCTGTGAAAGGGGTGAGTCCTAGATTTATATATGGTGCCAGATTATATATTGCTGTTCCTGGAAAGGCCCCCAAGGGCTGCCTGCACTGGATCCCAGGACAGCGACCTGCTCCCTGGGCTGGCAGGACGGTGACACTAGCCGGTCCCTCTACTGCCATCTCATCTCCATGCAAGACGTTGCTGGTTGGTCTACAACCGTTCTAGGTGGACAGCTTCTTCCTGAGATGACCCTCAAAATTATTGGGATTTAACATCAGACTTTATTATAGGAAAAGCCAGGAAAGGTGGTGAGGAATGGGGAAGAGAGCCCGGCAGGCCTCCGTTTTCATGGCCTATTTATGCAGAATAAAGAAAAAGGTGAAGAAGTATTTCTCCTCTTTTCATTTAAGGTAGGACATCCCCCCGCTGGTTAAGCCTCACCGCTGGATGGAAATGGATCCAGGGATGAGACAGCTCGTCCCTTTCTGGCGGCCTCGTGGGCCCCACCAGCTAGGGGAGATGTCGCACAGCCCACGGGCGCCGCGCCCAGGCGGGCGGAGGGGGAGCCCAGGTGTGGGGTGCGTGCTCACCTCGTACTCCTCCTTGAAGCCGTAGCCCTCTGCACACTTCATCTGCGTGATGTGCTGAAGCAGGTCGGCCACCCGGATGGCAGGGTGCAGCTGCCCCGTCTGGTAGGGCACGTCGGCCGGCTCGCGCTTCTTGTACGTGTGGGGCTGCACCAAGCTGCTGGTGTCACTGGCCATCGTGTGTGTCTCGTCTGGGAAAAGAAGGCCGTGGAAAAAATGAGGGGAACCAGCAGCTACAACGGGGTCGCCGAGAATCTAAGAAGAGGCTGCTGACATCCCCTCAACCTACGGCTGCCACGATCCCCGTGATGGCTCAGCAAAAAAGAAAAGTTAAGTGTCTAGAGATTTTAGTGGGGTTGGCAATACTAGTAGCGATGCGGCAGGAATCTTTGTTTTTACAAAGCAGTCCAAACGATCTCTTGCTTTCCCAAAGCTAGTTGGTAAGAACCCTTTAGCCTTCGGACGCTAAAGTTCATCAAAGTTTCGGTCTGAAACTTCATCAAGGCCTGGTGCAAAACCAGTCTTGTGTTCTTCCGAAGATTCGTGAACTAGTTTGTATGATGATGGAAATCAACTCTGTATGAATGTTCTGTGAGCAAAGAAAAAGTGCACAAGATGGGTTGGCTTACAAAGCTAGCAATGAAAACGTGGACATGATACATGAGATCCAAGATAACTGGGGGGGCGGGAGGGGGAGAGAAAGGAACCTGGTTGGATAAGTCACTTCGCATGCTCCAGGATCAGAAAGCTGGACAGGATACGGTGGGCCAACACAGCACTCATGGGATGATCTACAGGAGCTAACATGCAGGCCAACGCACAGCAGAACCAGCTGGCTTTGTTCTACAGAGAAGACAGCCCCCCCCCCATTCCCTCCACACCTTCTCCATGGGGCGGGCGCATGGGGGAACTTACCATTTATAGGCACTTTTAAGAAGATACATATCAGGAGAAAAGAGGAGGAGAAAAAGGAAACAGGGCATAAGCAATAGTACTGCGTGAGTAAGTACAGGTAGTTTTTATTTTGTGTTTTAATTTTACAGTTAAGTTTTCTATTTATAGGTGGTCAGAGGGCAAAGCCTCATTTCTCCCATCACCTTAGGATGGAGGTGTTTAATTTAAGCACTCAATAAGAAAAGGAGGTTAAAATAGTATCATAATTGCTTTTCATCCCCCATGAACCAAGTAATGACTAAATAAGTCTCAGTTGTACTCCATATATTTTCTCACTTAAATTTCTTGAACAAGTCAACCAAATTGTATTACAAAATTAAAGTCAGAATTTGGTCAAGTAAGCCTAAAGAGGCTAAATTTTAATGGAAGACTACTAGTAAATTAGATTAATGAACTGCAGAAATTGTAGCTATTAAAAAATGTCTTATGCAGGAAGGTGCTATTAGGTTAAGAGTTCCACATTCTACAGGTTAACTCATTATAATGCTGAATCCCCTCAGCCATTTTACAACTGAGGGTCTGTCTCCTTGAAATATAATGAGAAAGTCACTTAAAATGAGAACATTAAATCAAAATTGATTTCAGGCATAAAGAGTGAAAACATATAAGAAAAGATAAGTTCAATTAAAAAAATGACCAGATTGTTTATCAATAGGGAATTCAGCTATGGGTTTCTGTTTGTTTGTTTAAACTGAGAAGTTCAGCTCCAAAGGAAATTTAGTTCAAGGGCGCTTGGTGAGCTGGACCTGGCCTTGAAACCTCACTTCTATCTGCATTGCAAAGCACCTGGGATGCATGGTATGAAGGGTGGCACACAGGTGTGTAGCTATGTGCTGCTGCTGAAATGGTACCTGGATCACTACAAGGTGGCTAAAGACACAAAGACAAAATAAAAAAGGTGGTAAGTTGATTTTATGATTTTTTTTCATTTGGATTTGCTTTGAAATTTAGAAATTCATATGTTCCCAACTATTAGAACAGTTGCAAATAAACCGGGACATTTTCACATCGGATTTGCTTGTTGGCAACTGCCAAGCTCATGATGTAGGGGAGGCTCCCTCCTGAAGCCCTGAATCCCTGGAGCTTTCAGCTGCTCCAGCAGGAAGTTCTGCTCTTTATACTCAAATACATGGAACATTAATTAGTTTCCCCTCTGTGCCTCTCGTTCTCTCAGTTTTGCACCTTTTGGGATGAACGTAACTAAATGCCCTCCACTGTGGACTGACCTTCTACACTTCCCCAAATGAATCATGTGGGTCTTCCACGTGGATCCACTGGCAACCTCACAGTGCTCTGATCCCAGGGTGAGGCATTCTTGGAAGTTTTAAGTCCACAGAGCGGTCACCACTGTCACCACTGTATGTATCACCCCCACTGCACTATGACACCTTGACCTCATTATTATGTGGACACGTCTTAAAGCATTTAAACACTACCAGATCATCTAAGAAAAGAACACCATTACTGAGAACATAGCTGCCGACGAGGAAACTGAAGGTTTCTGGTGTGATATCTGTTCTGAAATTGGGTCACCTAAACTAGCAGAAAATCTTGATTGCACCAAAATTAGTGATTCATCAGTTTCCTCTGACTTCTTCAAAAAGAATGATTACTGATAAAATACATTTGTCACTAACTTCCGATATTTGTTAAAAATTACCCACCCACAATTTTTAATTAAAAATATGGCTAAGAGGAAATCAGAAATAAAGCTACTCACTAAAAGTTCTGATGGTTTTCTAAGAACTGAGAATTCATTCTACCTACATTCTTTAACAAACTGTCTCGAATTTTCAATGAACCAGCTCAAAAATCTTGAATTGAAATGGATGCTGTTTTTGAGGTAGGCGATGGTCCTACCTAGCTAGCTAGCTATCCATCTATCTAGCTACCTATTTTTTTTTTTGCAAGAAAATGATATAAAGGCATGCTAAAGCTTTATACATTAGGGCCGGGCACCTTAGCCTGTGAGAATAAAAGGCACTAGAGTATTTAATTGTGCTAAGCTGTGAGTCACAACAAAACACGTCTTCCTGTCTTAGTGTAAATTAAAATAGCACTATTCCCCAAAAGTGCCAGGGTAGATGTACAGCATATCTTCACTGCATGGTTTCAAGTGATAACCTATGTAACATATGGATTCACCTTCGCACCGAGTGACGTGGAAGGGACAGTCCCCAAGCACCGCCATTTGTCATATTGGCATGTTGGTACCAGCTCAACACGGTAACAGTTATTTGTTGATCTGGCTGGCTTATTTTTCACAATGTGCATCATTTTTGCTATTTGAATTGTCTGTTCAAGTGACTCTCTCTCTGTAGAGAAGCCTAACCAACTTTAAAAGATGTCATTAGTGTTCGTAATAACAAAGCCCCAACTTTAAAAGATGGTATTTGTTTAATAAGCTTATCTAAATCCTGCTGTGAAATCTGAACATTTTCTTCCCTCTGACAATGCACATCTCAGCCCTCCCCACTCACAGCTCCCCCAAGGTCAGAACACCTACTAGAGGAATTGCGGAATGAATGCCAGGCACACAAAGAAATCACAAATCTTTGCCTATCAAGAGATTCTGCAAATGTCATCTGCATTTAGATTGCATTGTTCAGGCACCTAAGATTAGCCTGTGCCCCTCACTTATGAAAAGGATAAAAATGCAGCTTTCTTTCCCTTACAGTCAGGATTAAAAGGTGGCAGCTTTAGTGGGGTTTGTTTATCAGTCCTCAAAATGATGCAAATTCAAAAAGTCTGCTTTAGGTCCATTCTTCAACTTCTGTCTGAGTTCATTTTTTCCTCAAGCAACAAACTTGCTTAATCAAGCCCAGAAAACGCCATAAGGGGGGGGAAAAATAAAACAACACCCTCTACATAAAAATCATAACAACTTAAGAGAAAAGAGAAGCACAGGGGGAAAAATTATGTTGCCAAGATATAAACCCTAGTAAAGAGAGTTAGGAAGCAGGACTGGCACAGCTAAGGATGGAGCTCTGGCTGTGAGGGATGGTTATACACCTTGAAGTCATCTGTGTTGTGCTCCTTTTCTGTAAGGTTAGTAGTACTGATAGAGAGAGAACATAGCCGGGTACGCTCGGGCTATGGTCTCAAAGGCAACAGCAGCTCATAATTGTTTGGTTCTATCACGGCCAGGTAATGCCATTTCTCCTCACCCTTCTTATATCCGGACAAATGGGATTTTTTCTTTAACCCCCGCTGGGAATATTTCCTACTTTCATTGCATTCTGTCCCATGGAGGCTAACATTTTATTTCATTTCTGGTGACATCCGACACATAAAAAACCATGTGATTATAAAGTGTCAGCTTGTCGTTTTGCTGTTGAGAACATCGGCTCCTTCGAAATTCCACTGTGTGACAGACATCTGAAATGCTGGGGGTGCCCTGGGTAGCTCCGAGGAGGGGGAGGGGGCCAAATCTCTACTGTGATGATTTTTCTGCATAACATTTGGCAAAATTAGAAAAATGCTATTTTTGAAACTGCTGTTTTCGGTGCTTAGCAATAAGTGAAAATAATAAGAAGCTATTTTCACGTTTATGACTGTCACCACTTTGGACAAGACTTTAGGTCTTGCAAGTACACAGCTGAGTGATGACAAACTGTGTTTTTCCTTGGGATCAAAGCTGACTTTTAATTCTGAACCTGGACAGGGAGAGCGCTGGAGCCGGGATCGTTCATTGGAACCTTTTGGTATCATTCCCAACACACACACACGGCAAACCCTTCTTATCAATGGAGGTTGTTTAGAGAAAGTCTTTTTATTATCTATGCCCACCCCCAAGCCCTCCAGGCCATCCACCACCCCCGTGTCCGGGTTATGATCCTTGCATCAAACTGCCGTCTCCTACAGAGTGGCCACTGACTTTAGAAATTACTCCTGTAATAAACTGTGATAAAGGGAAATGTTCTCACCTAAAATTGCAGTTGGCACAAATGGGTCTGTCATACATCATAAGCAGGTCAATGCAGAGAAAGTAAAAAGAGAAAGAACAGTAAATGACTGATGAAAGGCCCCCCAGTTTTCCCACAGAAAGCCATAGAAAGCATCGGGTTACAACACTTCAAACACGCTAAGCTCCTAAAGCATCCTGGGCAGCAAAGTGAGCCCTGGGTGAGTCTGACTGCTCAGGGTTTATGAAGAGATGAAACAACGGAAAGCTTTGTTACCTGGGTAGTAGGAATTAGGCACCGATGTGCTCAGGGTGTTCGTTTTCATGGTAAAGGACGATGGTGAAGACACAGCTGTAAATAAGAGAAAAGGCATGTCAGTGGGGGTAGAGAAGCAACACCAGAAAATATGGCCCTGAGGTCACTCCTGGGGAAACGACACTGGGTAGACTGTTGACCAAAGAAACAACAGAGGTTTACCCGAGTCTATGTGGTAAATACTATTAGTCTCCACTGTCTCTGTGGGGAGTTACTTGTACTTTAGAGGACATGCCCCCTTTTACCACTGAAAAGATTTTCTGATCCCACAAATGAAGGAAAAAAACCCCAAACCGGGCTTCCCTGGTGGCGCAGTGGTTGAGAATCCGCCTGCCGACGCAGGGGACACAGGTTCGTGCCCCGGTCCGGGAGGATCCCACGTGCCGCGGAGGGGCTGGGCCCGTGAGCCGTGGCCGCTGGGCCTGCGCGTCCGGAGCCTGTGCTCCGCAACGGGAGAGGCCACAGCGGTGAGAGGCCCGCGTACCGCAAAAAAAAAAAAAAAAACCCCAAACCACAGCTGCCATTTTGGATTAAGGAATTCATTAATTTCCCTTTTGACTTCTAGCCTTTGCTTGCAGAATTTTACTATCACACTGAACTGACTTTTACAACTAAGTATGAGAGTGTGTCTACACATGGCTTTTGGAGAATATTCTGAATGTCAATGTTTTTGTAGTTTGCTAAATCCTCACCTTGCTTCTATTTTGGATATTGAGAGAGCTTTTCACAATGCTATGATCTGTTTTATGAAAAATAAAGATGATGCTCCATGTGTACTATATTTAACGTGAAAGCTGCATGCCTCCATGTTGTCTTATTAGGCCTTTAAATCCTTGTAAACATGCTTACTTTTCTTTGAAATCTTCCTCTGAAACACTCAAGATTTAACTACACCTTCTCTTCCCCCTGTCATTAAGAGGTAGAGTCAATCCCATCCAATTTATCTGATTCCGTTTTAAGTGGATATTTCCTATTTTTAAAGTAGTTTAACTCTCTTCAACATCTTAATTGATTAGTGCTTTAAAAACACTTTAATTTCATTAAAGTGCAAGGATAAATTATTGGAATGTGCACAAGTGCTCAAGCTGGTTAGATCTAAGTCTAAATTTTAATTCCTCTGATGTGGTTATACGGTTTATTTGATGCTGAGTTCCTGATCAGAACACTAATACCCACTTACATGGCTGGTTTATGGGCGGCTCCACCAAATCCCTGTGGTTATTGCATGTCAGCTTTATCCTGATGACACGTGAATATATTTTCACTCTCTTGGAGCAGTTCCCTTCAGACAATGATTTTACCTGTGTTTATATTTTTTAAGTATAGAATTAGCAAATGACAGAACCAGAACCCAGGCTGCCTGTCAGTTATATTTTTCTAAAATAGAGAAGTATCATATTTATAATGGATGTTTACGATAAGCTGCCAGGAAGAAAGAGAGCAGTTGATAAAAACAAGGACAAAAACCTGAGTACCTAGAAAACATGCCAGGGTCAGGGAGCATAATGCCTATTACCTGCTGACATTTTTATTTGTTTCGTAAAAATGTGCAAAGCAGATACAAAATAACTATGTTTATTTTCACCTTTAAAAACATATTTTAAACCCCTTTTTTGTATAAGAATTAAACCCATACCCACTATCCATATCTACTTTCCTCCCTTTTAGGTACGACTCCCATTTGCTTTGGTGGATGGATTACTCCCCATTCTTATAAATGTGCTCGGGCTTATTTTTAAATTCTCCAACCAGTCTTCTCACCATCTCATTCCTAAAAACTACTTGCTTCCCAATCCTAAAAGATCTCAAACATATCCAGTCTTGGAGTAGGTCTGGGCTAGAAGCCTAGTGGTCTAATGAACACTTTTCATGAAAATTTCCTTCCCCAGTAACTGCTCTTTTAATTTAATGCCTCTTTAAAGAGGCATTAGAGATAATGCCTCTTTAATGCCTCTCTAAAGGCATTTAGAGAGTATGATGATGACAAAGTTTACCATTAGGGTCACTGCCCGTGGATGGGACTGGATGAGACCTACCCATTGTTCAGAGAGCGGGAGGACAGTGGAACGCCTCGTGCCATGCTTCCTCCATTGGCTTTACCGATGGAAGCATCAAGTAACGCCTCCTGGCGGGTGAGCCCCAGAAGCTGTGTCCCTACTGCTGCGGCAGCCCCCTCTACATAGGCAGTTTTGGATTTCCACAGATACATTCATTTTTTAAAAAGTCAATGCCAAATTAAATATCCTGTCCAGAGGCAAATACCTCCTGTTGCTCAAACTTCAAAAGCCTAGAAACTACCAATGTAGGTTTCTGCTCTTTGGGTAGGCAATTCCAAGTAAATTTATTCGTGAGGAATTTCACCATGAAATAGAAGATTTGGAACAGTAATGGGTTATGATGGAAAGAGCGAGCATGTATCCGCGTGGTCCCTTCCACACTGTTGGTCAAGAAATAACTGCTCTGACAAAAATTCTCATCTTGTCTGTGGTAGGAAGGACTCGCCCCCCGCCCCCCACCCCGCCCCACAAATGCATCCTAAGTTGCTTTATTTTGGGAGTTAAACGCATTACATACCTTTAAATGGAAACTATATTTTCCATTTCCAATATTTACAAAAAAGCAGAGAAAATTGTACGAAAAAAAAGGGATGGAATTTGTGGTAAACTGAAGTACCCCAGATTCTGCCACCTACACTGAAAATGACATGAGAGGGCAAAGGACAATGACCACGGTTGCGAGTGTGTCCTGCCCGCTGGGGTGAGAGCCGTGTCTGCTGAAGTCCTGCACCAGCGGGCCAGGGCTGCATGTGGATAAATAAATGTAGGGCCTCTAACTGGGATAAGGTGGACAATAGTAGCCACTGTGAACAGAAAGGAACACGAAGCCTTGCTGAATGTAGGGGAAAGGCAGGTGTGGGAGAAGGGTGCTGACCACAGCAGGCGTGATCAGAGAGGGTGGGAGGGAGATGCAGATCCCAACAGCCCAGGTGGGTGGTCAGGACAGGAGCGCACACCGTCCGCACTGGGATCAGCCCTCTTGCACCAGAGACCATGTGTCTGTGATTCTCCCAATCCCCAACCTTTACTTTATTACTATTGGTGACAGCTGTCCTTTATCCATCCGCAAGCCGCCCAGCATCCTGGTTGCACGGCCAGGGTCGGCAGCAGCCTTTGGGCATGGATTTCACACATTAAAGAAACCTCTGACCTTGAACCTGTCAGCGCTGTGAACCACATCATTAGGCACATGGGATTTACTTTTGGTCCCCAAGAAGATCACCAGGGACACAGCAACTGTACTTTTTGTATTCATACAGTCCATGTAATTGCTGGCTTCCTAAAACAACACCTTGTACCTGGATGGCAGGTGGCAGCATGGAAGGTATTAGCTGAGCTCCGTTTACCCACCTGGTGTGAAACATAAGCCTTCTGAAGTGGAAATACAATTTAGCTTATTAATTGCCATTAACAGCCCTGTAATAAAGGCAGAACTTGTCAGCTAAACAAATAAACAATTAGCTTGTTACTGCCATTTAGTGAACTGCTTTATAACGGGCTTCCCCCGAGTGACTGCACACCTGCCTCGCTTACAAACAGGAGCTGCATAACAACAGGGATGGTGAGAAGCAGGTGCCTTCCTCTGGGTGAGGAGGGAAGCCTCCGTGTCACTGCTCTCGGGTCTTTACAGAAATGTGGCCGTGGCTGCCCGTGCTGTCTGCTCTGGTCCCGTCACCCCGCCCACACCACCGTTCCTAAGCAACCGTGGCATGTGGGGATGTGTCCAGGATCATCTGAAGGGACTGGAGAAGCCAACAGGGCCTAAGAATTCCCTGGGAGGTTTTGTTTCCTAACCCTCAGCACCACGTGGAATCCTGGAAACCTGAGAGCTGCCCTAAAGGCAGGCCACGCGCAGCACTCACATCTCCCGTTGAGGTTGTGTGTGTCCATGAAGGAGAAGGCCTCGTCGCAGCTGGTGCCCTGCTCCGCGTAGCTCTTGTCCATGGAGCTCACCATCACCGTCATCTCCTGCCGCGTGCTGCTCATCGTCTCCTTCCGCTTCCTGGCCAGTTTCCTTGGGACAGAGAGTTCATTATGCAGACACGCGTGAGGATGGAAAAGGTGCACTGACCAACGCTCGGGAATCACTTGTATGGAATTAACGGTATTCATCCATAACAGTGTCTCATGATGCCTTCCAGATGGCAGGTTCTCTGCCAACTGCAGAATGCAGAGGAGACCCGTCTCCTGCCTGTCCTCACAAAAAACCCCTCAGGCCAAAAGGCACATGAAAAGATGCTCAACATCGCTAATTATTAGAGACATGCAAATCAAAACTACAACGAGTTACCACCTCAAACCGTCGGAATGGTCATCATCAAAAAGTCTACAAACAGTAAATGCTGGAGAGGGTATGGAGAAAAGGGAACCCTCCTACACCACTGGTGGGAATGTAAGTTGATGCAGTCACTATGGAGAACAATATGGAGGTTCCTTAAAAAACTAAAAATAGAGCTACCATATGATCCAGCAAACCCACTCCGGGGCAGATATCCAGAGAAAACCATAATTCAAAAAGATACGTGTACCCCAGTGTTCATAGCAGCACTGTTTATAATAGTCAAGAAATGGAAGCAACCTAAGTGTCCATCAACAGAGGAATGGATAAAGAAAATGTGATACATATATACAATGGAATACTACTCAGCCATTAAAAAAAAGAATGAAATAATTCCATTTGCAGCAACATGGATGGACCTAGAGTTTATCATACTAAGAGAAGTAAGTCAAATAGAGAAAGACAAATATCTTATAATATCACTTATATGTAGAGTCTAAAAAAATGATGCAAATGAAATTATTTACAAAACAGACACAGACAGTTCAGATAATATACATATTGCTATATATTAAATAAAGAAAGAAAGAAGTAATACCAATGAACTTACAAAACAGACTCAGACAGTTCAGATATACACACTACTATATGTAAAATAAACAACAAACTGTATAGCATAGGGAAACATACCCAATATTTTGCAATAACCTATATGGGAAAAGAATCTGAAAAAGTATATATATATATATATATATATATATATATATATATCTGAATCACTTGGATGTACATCTGAAACTAACAACATTGTAAATCAACCATACTGCAATTAAAAAAAAAAAACCCTCAGTCATGTTAGGAACGTACAGCCTCAACATTACCTTACACTTCTCCTACTATGAGCTAAAGTAAAAGGGTCAATGACCCTAGTACAACGCAGTCGTAATATACTTACTGATAGGTTTCTACAGTTACTAACTCTTCACTAAATTATTCTTGACATGGTCCAGGAGTAGATCCCCCTAGGAGATATTCACCATACAAAACCGAAATAATCCAAGCAATGAATCTAAGGGGCGCCCTGCAGAACCAAAGAACAGCCCAGGCGAGGTGTGAAGACAGCATCGCTGGAGTGTGCGTGGGAAGGGAGGAGGCTGTGAGGCAGCCTGCGCGGACAGAGGCCTCTGAGGGGCATCTGCCGAATCTCAGATGGCTGTGACACTGGACCGTACCCCAAATGAACCCCAAGTAGTTCCCCATCAAGGCTGGTCAACAGGGCAGAAGGTAAAAGAAGTCAAGTTGTCGGCTTCCCTGCCAAGTTTCGCAGAGGAGTGAGTCCTCAGGCTCCCTCCCTGGGTGAACGAGATGCAGAAAGGCCCTAGAAGGTAGAGAGAGTTCCAGTTCTTTTGGAGACAGAGTTTAACCCTGGCCTTTCTATCATGCTCATTAACCACCAGAAGCTCATAATCTTAAGTTACAGAGACCTGGACAAAACCCATAAAAACCTAAGGGAAACTGACATTTGAATACACAGATAAAACACATTTTTATAGCTCTTACTACGGAGGTTGTTTGATGCACCCAGGACAGACAAGAATAGAATTAGAGATGCTTAAGAAGAAGGTATAAAGCAAGAAGCTTTAAGAAGACGAGAGCACCGTAATGCTAAAAATATAATGTCCTAAATATTCTAATTTTGCTTAAGCACTTAGCATGTACACAAGCAAATGGCAGCTATTTCTAGTAAATCATCTTGACTCTGATTAACCTAGGACACAGAATTTAAAATGAGCTGCATAATCAAAATCACCCCCATATTAGGTGATTATTAATGCAGTGTAAGACACTGACAACATTAGACCATATGGATAAACTTTATTTTCATTTCCAAATGCCACATAATCCAAATGCTTTCTTGCCCGTAGTTATAATAATCTTTTGATTTCATACCTGGAAGGCAGAAGGGTTTCATTAATAAGTTGCCCCTTTTTTATTGCCAGAAGTTGTTGGAAAAAAAAGATACATTTTTAAACAGAAAAATGAAAATGATCTATAACTTCTGTGACCGTGTTCAAGTTGTAAAGACGGGAATGTGTAATAAAACTGGAGCAGCCACTGTGGAGAACAGTATGGAGGCTCCTTAAAAAACTAAAAACAGAGCTACCATACGATCCAGCGATCCCACTCCTGGACATACATCTGGAGAAAACTATAATTCAAAAAGATACATGCTCCCCAATGTTCATAGCAGCACTCTTCACAATAGCCAAGACATGGAAGCAACCTAAGCGTCCACTGAGATGAATGGATAAAGATGTGGTACATATATACAATGGAGTATTACTCAGCCATAAAAAAGAATGAAATAATGTCATTTGCAGCAACATGGCTGGACCTCAAGATTGTAACGCTAAGAGAAGTAAGCCAGACAGAGAAAGACAAATATCATACGATATCACTTATATGCGGGATCTAAAAAAATGATACAAATGAACTCATTTACAAAACAGAAATAGACTCACATACATAGAAAACAAACTTATGGTTGCCAAAGGGGAAGAGAGGGAGGGAAAAATTAGGAGTTTGGGATTAACAGATACACACTACTATGTATAAAATAGATGACCAACAAGGACCTACTGTACAGCACAGGGAACAATACTTAATATCTTGTAATAACCTATAAGGGAAAAGAATCTGAAAAAGAATATATATTCTTATATATATATTCATATATATATATAATACATATATATAAAAAACTGAATTGCTTTGCTGTACACCTGAAACTAACAAAGCATTGTAAGTCAACTATATTTCAATAAAAATTAAAAAAATATGCATTTACAAAAAACGTTGTAAAGGTTTTGAAAAGGAAGCTGGCATGGCTCCTCTGGGTGCCAGCGTGCAGATGCTGGTCATCTTCTCCAGAGCCCCCTTTTTTCCAGCCAATCACGCTAGTCTAAGGGGCAGAATCTAGGCTTGGATGTTCTCCACAGGTGTTCTGGATAGAGGTAGCACTGGCTCCAGACCCACAGCTGCAGTTACAACAGTACATTTGCTCTCCACTTCTGCGTCTGCCAGCTCACTGGAAAAGCATTCTTAAGCCAGGTCTCCCCAGGAGCACTAAAGTGGAGGACCGAGATAATTAGCACCATCGTTCAGGCAAAACGTCCCCCCTTTGCTGGAATTTCTTTAATTTGCTTTGGACTGAGTTATGCAGATAATTGCCCCAATATTTTCTTTTGTTTTGCCTATGAAGAGAGACGTAGTCAAGTTCGCCAGACTTGTCTTCTCTTTGTCTTCTCTTGCTTGTGTTTCTCTAATCCTTACAGGTTAGGAAATGACAGTGAAAGTGCTTCTTACTGCTGGTGGGAGGTGGTGGTGGAGGGCGGATGTGTGCTCCAATAAAAGCCAAGCTTGTACTGGAAAGATCTTTCTCCTCTCTGATCCTCCGTGTGTGAACTAATTTCAGTGATGTCACGCTACACACTCCACTGCTGATCTTCCTTAAGCACAAAAGAAGCCCATTAAGGACTCATGAGAACCTGCTCAAATCCAGCAGAGGTCCAGCTGGAGACCCACAGCTTTAGGTTCATGTCCGTTAAGCATATACTCTGTGTCCGTGAACCTTCAAAACATGGCTCCCACATCCTCAGCAAGCCTTCCTGCATTAACCTCACCCTTTGACCACAGACACAAATGTCTCACTGGGGGCCAGGCAGGTACTGCAAGGGAGTGAAGCAGGTCTAAGGCAATAAGGAGTGGTGGGCACTGGAGGAAACGGAAGGGGAGACAGCCTCTCAGCTCCAGAGGGTGGATGCCCCATAAGGGTCCCAGACACTGTAAATTGCAGGAGAAACCAGAAATCCAGATTTTACAGGAACTACCTGAATTCTAAGTATTGTCAAATTAATTCAAATTAAAAATTTAAAAGACTATGTGGCCCAAACAAAGCATGTTTGTGGATACTTCTGCTCTCCACTAATACAGCACTTAGAAACTTAATTGTGTTGGAAGGGAAGGGAGTGGAAACTGACATATAATACATAACTACTGTATGGCAGTGCTCTGCAAGTGTTCTCTCATTTAATCCTAGTAACCTGGTAAGAGCTATTCTTACTTCCTATTTTATAGATGGAGGAACTGAGTCTCAAGGACTTAAGTTGTCCAAATGGTGGAGCTGGAATTGCACCCCAGATCTCTCTGGACCCCAAAGGTACCCATTCTAGAACAATGTGCTGTATCTAGTAAAGTATTTCATTAATTTACAATTCCTTACAAGTTACATTATAATTATCACCAAGTTGCTTTCAAACGTGAATACTCTATCACCTCACAACTAAATATTATGAATTGAAAACAGTAGGATTAATTTACTAGCACCTAGCCAACACTTTACACAAAGCAGGTGGTATTAAATATGCTTGTTAACTGAATTAACAATTGTCACACCAAAGCATTAGAAAAGACAGTTTTTCTGCGACCTCCTAATCAAAAGTAGCTTGCTTGGTCACGGAGGTTTTGAGTCATTGCTTGGGATTTTTGATTTGTCCTCATGCACAGCTAAATGCTATAGTCCATAATTACAGATGGTTGAGGAAGGTTAGATTTAGAATTGAGAGTTGGGAATAAGTGTGGATAAATTGAAATTTATTCTCTTTCTATTTTTGTCCTATCTATTTCTCTTTTGGACTCTGTGTTTCAGATCTCTATTTTATATTTTAAAGAAAACT